AGCCATACTTCGTGGTGGGTTCGTTGCTGATGTTCTTGCAACTGCTACAAGAGTATGCCATTTGTGCCATGGACATCACTAAAGTCTCAACGGACGTCCTCAACAGCTCCATCGACTTGTTACAGGTGTGTGTGTGTGTGTATGCATATATATATATAGATATATATATATACATATATATATATATATAAGTGTGTGTTTGTTTGTTTTTTTGGCATGTGTTTTATATATACATGTATACATATACCATTGTGAACGAAATGTTCGTAGCGCTCGACCGGACTGATTTAGTCACTCTGCAGTCATACGCATCACAATATTCAGGTATCGCTATCACGACACTCACCAACCGCCACACTAAAGCATACCAATACACACCTTATAATAAACATTACTAGCAACCGCTTTATACTAAACAATGCTAACAACCGCCTTATATATAGCAATACCAACGACCACCTTATAAATAACAGTACGGACAACCACCTTATATATAACAATATAACAACGACCTTATAAATTTCAATACTGGCAACCACCGTATCAGTAACAGTACTAACAACCACCTTATAAATAACAATCAACAATGACCTTATAAATTTCAGTAATGACAACCACCGTATATATAACAATACAACAACGACCTTATAAATTTCAGTACTGACAACCACCCTATCAATATCAGTACTAACAACCGCCTTATATATAACAATACAACAACGACCTTATAAATTTCAGTACTGACAACCACCGTATCAATAACAGTGCTAACAACCGCCTTATATATAACAATACAACAACGACCTTATAAATTTCAGTACTGGCAACCACCGTATCAATAGCAGTACTGACAGCCGCCTTTTAGTTTATGTGACTATTAACGTTGTGGCGTCGGTGATAGTCACACTGAACCATTCCCTCCACACCGGACAGATTTGACTCGAGTATGCAACACACAATTTAGGGTTTAAGGAAGGTGTAGGGCTGTACGTGCGTGGCACTGCACACCACCAGCTCAATAGCACAGCCGCACCTCATGCTTCGAACTGTCTCGGATTGTGATGGAGGTACATATTAGTATCATCAAGCTCGATTGGATACAGGGTTAAAGCTTAACCTGATATGTTCTAAGGTTTAGGGTTTGGGGTTAAAGCTCTCGGCAACGTTTCTTGTCCATTGGTCGTATAATTTCACTGCATTGCACTGGCTGAGTGCGTATCACTAAATACTGTTAGATCAAACACGGTGTTGTGTATGGCAATGCAGGTGACTATCACGTTAGTTTCTGCCCACTACACTACCAGGCTACACTCAGGCACGTTCACAACAACACACACACTCTATAGCTATCAATACGTTATGATATACATCACTCTTACACCATCTCTGTCACTCAGCTACACTATGTAATGCCAACACACACACTCTACAGCTATCATTACGTTATAACACACACACTCTACAGCTATCATTACGTTATGATATACATCACTCTCATACCATCTCAATCACTCAGCTACACTATGTACTGCCACTACGCACACTCTACAGCTATCATTACGTTATGATATACATCGCTCTCACACCATCTCAATCACTCTGCTGACCGTTGCATAACTTGCCCTTCGGTTACCTCTTGCTGATCGTTGCACTGCTTCTCTTCGGCTGACCTGTTGCGGCCCTGTAGTTCTACAACGCACGTGTGCATCAGTTAATACTTCAAGCGGGGGCCATTGAGGTGGTTGGGCTCAAAACCATCACAGCAAAGCATCTGGGTATGTCCGTTTGGGGCTTTAGGGTTTTAGGGTTAGGGTTAGGGGTTTAGGGTCACATCTGGGTAAGTCTTTATGTGGTTGGTGGTCTATGTGCGTGTTGTTTGTTTTGAGGTGATCTTTTCTTGTACATGTCTGTACTTGTCAAGTGGTTTGATTGAACGAGTGGGCAAGTGAATGTGATTGGTTGCTGAATTGGTTAAGCTGCCTCGTAATATCAATGACTGACTATTGTTTTACGTCCGAATATGTATATTTGTACATGTGTATGTATGTATGTATGTATATATATATGTATGTATGTACATGTTATTAGTATAGTCTATTAGTATAGTGTATTAAAACATGTTATTAGTATAGTCAATTAAGTATAGTATATTAAGGCATGTTATTAGTATATTCTATTAGTATAGTCTATTAAGACATGTTCGTAGTATGGTCTTTTGGTATAGTTCGAGGCATGTGATTCGTATAGTCTATTAGTATAGTCAATTAGTATAGTGTATAGGACATGTTGTTAGTATAGTCTATTAGGATAGTCTATTAGGGCATGTTATTAGTATGGCCTATTAGTATAGTGTATAAGGCATGTTGTTAGTATAGTCTATCAGTATATTGTATTAAGGCATGTTATTAGTATAGCCTATTAGTATAGTGTATAAGGCATGTTGCTAGTATAGTCTATTAGTATAGTGTATAAGGCATGTTATTAGTATAGCCTATTAGTAAAGTGTATAAGGCATGTTATTAGTATAGTATATTAGTATAGTCTATTAAGGCATGTGATTGGTATAGTCTATTAGTATAGTGTGTAGGGCATGTTGCTAGTATAGTCTATTAGTATAGTCTATTCAGACATGTTCGTAACATGGTCTATTAGTATAGTTCGTATAGTCTATTAAAAAATGTGATTAGTATAGCTATTCCCTTGCATTTCTTAAACTTATACTTGGTGTGTATAAGTACACGTGATGTATGCACTTATATGTGGACATACTCACACACACACAACACACAACACACACACACACACACACACACACACCACACACACACAAACACACACACACACACACTCGCACACACTCACACACTTTCTTCTCTCTCTCTCTCTCACTCATAACCTCACACTCGCACTTATACACACCCATACACACTCACATTTCGCACGTATACACACTCGCACTCGCACCTTTACACACACCCATACACACAGCCTTGACCTCCCAATGCCTGGCCGTGATCCAACGGTTCATACCACTGCTGAGGTCAGCCCTCTCCAAGCAACTGACAGTCAAGCAGCGACTGCTCCTGACCGAGTTTACGCGTGTGGCGAATGACTACGCCGAACACCAGCACGAGATTGTGCGCAAAATTACAGACATCATGGAGTCAGTCTATCACTATCATATGAAGGTGTGTGTCTATCACTATCACATGTCAGTGTGTGTGTGTCTATGGCTATCATATGAAGGTGTGGGTGTGTCTATGACTATCATATGAAGATGTGTGTGTCTATGACTATCATATGAAGGGGTGTGTGTGTGTCTACCACTAGCATATGAAGGTATGTGTGTGTGTGTGTGGGCTGTTTCGATACAGATGGGTTGCCATGGTGATGTCTGTAACCAGGTCGATGCGTACGTCTTCCGTTGTTACTGTGTTAGATATACACGAGTGTCCGTGGATTGGCTTGGGTGCACCCGTAGCATGCTTCTGCCAAACATTAACTTGCATTACATCACCACACGCACATGCACACACAGCACACACGCCAGCTGCGTACTCTGATCACATGACCACATCGATTGTTCTGGTTGTGTGTGTCCGTGCGAATAGCCTAAAGGCGTCTCCTCATTTGAGTGGATTGCGTTAGTGAGTGTATGTGA